CCCTCTTTTCGAAACAATCTCTCTGCCTGGCGGAGAATTTTCCTTGAATTGGGACACTGCACCCTACGGTGGCATTAAATAATACAACGAGCATGACGAGTTGAAGTTAGGAGTTGTGTGGAAAAAAAGAATTTCACACAGCAAATGAGCCCGATTTTGACGAAAAATGCGGCATTTGTCATGAAATCCACGAGCCTAAATGATTAAGTATTTCATTTTATTGGCTATTTCCTGAAAGTAAAGCATCTCAGCTTCGTGCTCATGCAATGAACTAAGAAATATTGTGAAAATTATGTGTACCATAACGAAGGATGTCGAAAAGTCAATTTTTTTGGTATTTTTTCCATTGATGTGCAGTGGGAAGTAAACTCTCACAGGCTTAGTTCCCCCAAGGAAACACGTTTTTTTTTCCTATGAATATCTCTCCCATTATACCAAAAGGGTTCCACTGTTATTTTTATCATGCAAGAAATAAGGTAAACATGCAAATATCTGTACTTTCTGTAGCCTTCAATTAATACAAAGTGAATGGAGGGTTGCCCCATTGCCCAGATGTGAATAAGGACATAAATGGAATGAAACAATTAACCTCCGACCAGGTCAGTGATCTCATTTAGGTTATTTTCCAATACTGAACTAAATGTCTACTACATGTATTTTACTTCCAGAACTGCCGTTTTCCAACAAATGTTCATGGAAGTCTGAGCTACTTGGACTCTACGAATCACTTTTTGAACATTTGGCCATTACCCCCTTGTGAAAAAACTTATTCTTGGCAGACATCAGCCACTGTTGATGTACCGTAAAATGTACATGTATACACCATTCCACTACAGGTAGCAAAAGTCTAACAGTCTCTAATCTCCCCCATCCCTTCCCTTGTTCCAATATTCCATCACTGTCTGAAGACATGGGCCCAACGTTATCAAGTACTAAACATGGCTGATGATACAGGCTTTGCGTGGCAGCCATCTTACAGGATAGCTCTTTTGTTCCATAGTTTATGCACAGAGGAGGTTTCCTGGTTGAATGAAAAAACTGCCCTGCAAGATGGCTGCCACGCAAGGCCTCTGTAACAGGTGGGGGTAATTGGTCATTTTGAGCCCTCAGAGTACCCTGTGACTACATGCACTGTGTTGCATACAATGTAGCTATGACTATGAGCTTTTTTGGTAAGAGTGCCAAGCTCAATTGCAGAATACCCCCCACCCCGCATGATCAACCTCATACACGTAGCCAGTTGCAGGTCAAGTGTCACACTCTTCCTAAGGGATTTTCACCTTGTACCCACGTAACCAGTCATTGCAGGGTCATTTTTTAGAGTGGTAGAGTATTCTGCAATTGCTCCGAGTGCCATACCTACATCACAAAAAACTTTCCCTGAAGTGGTGTATCAGCCATCAGAAAGCAATAATGTGTCCTAAATTTAGCAGGGAAAAATATTGAAGTGAGTACTTAGACAATTTTTTCAGATCTTTCTCATAGGGTGTTTGCACAGGGTGTTAAGTTAACATAATATCCGCGCATGGAACTCTTTCCAGCTTTCCTTCCAACATTCCAGAATTAACCTTATTTCATTATTTTTAATACAGACAGGGTAATCTTTTAGTTGTCATCATGGCAGAGAGTGGCAATCATGGAGGTCGAGAAGAACTTATGGCAGAACTGAAAAGACTGGACATTGAGACAGAAATAGTGGAACACCCAGAGGTAATTCAGAAAGAATAAAAAAAAAACACAAATAAAAGCAAATCTGTACTCTAGCAGTAGTCTCTGGGAAAGAGTTCAGTGTTCAGCCTCTATTATTTCCGAGTTTCATAACAACTAAACTAACTTAAGAATGGGTCGAGGTGTTGTTGCCAAATTTGCTCCTAGGTACCAAACCTCCTTTCCTTGTTAAAATCCCCCCAAATGCAAGGCCCCCTCTCCCTTTTTCAATTGGTGTTGCTGAAGCTCGGAAATCGTGAAGATCGGATGCAGAACTCTTTCTTTTGTGTGGATCGGCCTAAATTCCATTTGGTAAAGATTGGCAGGATTGTGCACACTGATGCAGCAGAGTTAAGTGAGAGTGATATTCAAGTTCTAACCTGAAATTATCCCAGTTGTATTGAAATGGCCGATTGAGATTTTACTGGGCAGGAAAAAACTGGTACAACAAAAGTAAATCTGTCACTTGGACATCAGGGAATCTAAAAAACTTCGCAGAAAAGTTCACATGACCAAAGTAAAGCATACAGCACTGTGCATGTAAAGTAAAGGTTGCAGTCACAGTTCAGATTTATTTCATTTTTCCACTGACACTTTGTGCCTATGCCAGAAACTGTACAACTGGTCAGTTTCACCATGAAGTGATGTACACGTACATGTACCTTCCATGGCTTTTTTTGTACACATGATATGACAGTTCATGGTGCTGCATTTATCCACAATACGTCATTTCGTGATGCAAATGACAAATTAATAACAAGAATTTTTTGGGGGGGGGGCAGGGGAATCAGTGAATGGAATTGTAAGCGTGGCACTTTGTACGTCTCTTTTGCGAGTTGTGTATGGTTATTAGAGACAAAGCTTTCTCCTGGAGCTTTCTCCTGGGCCAACTGGTTCTTTTTAGAACCCAAACTGAGAAGAGATAGATGATGCAACTACGCAACTCCTCATGTAATTGGTCTGCATTTACATTGTTATATCCCAGATTTGTCCAGTGCCAACTTGGGGCAGCCCCAACTTTGTCAACTCGGTGAAAAGAAGCGGTTTTACATTACAATATGTAGTAAATGGGAGGGAGGGGAAGAGAGAAAAGAGCTAAGTACATGTAAGTAAAAAGAAGGAATAGATAGCAAGAAAAAATGAGAGGAGGTAAGGGGAACAGGGAGCAAAGTTATTGGGCAGTGATTATACACAATTCAGTCATTCCAACCATGTCACAAACATATGTAAACCCCCTTAATAACATTTAAAATTTAGTTCTTGAAATTTGAATCAGTCACTCAGTGCTGTTTAATGTTGCTGTATGTCCAACTACATGTAGTTGTGGACGAAATTGTAAGGCTTGGACAAAGATGGACGTAAAGGCACTGTTCAAGGATCTTTGTCGAAAAGGCTCTTCCCATCTTTTAAAATAGATTGATTTCTTCAGGTGTTTACAGTTGAAGCCATGATGCCTCACCTCCAAGACATCAGTGGAGTAGTTGGCAAAAATCTCTTCCTGAAGGACAAGAAGAAGGGACTGTGGCTGCTGACCGCTCGGCACAACCGTGTGGTCAACTTGGCTAAGCTGGCCAAGACAGTGGGGGCACCTGGCGGGTTGCGCTTGGCCGACGAGAGCGTCCTGCAGGAGAAGCTGGGTGTAACGCAGGGCTGTGTGACGCCCTTTGCATTGTTCAACGACAGGGGCAAAGAGGTTAAGTTCCTACTGGACAGAGATTTGACAGACAAGGGCCACCCAAGGGTGAACTTTCACCCCATGACCAATGTGGCAACCTTGGGAATGGCCCCAGATGACTTTCTGAAATTTGTGAGGGAGACGGGCCACGAGCCCATCCTGGTCAACTTTGATGCGTTGGAGTGAACTTGGGTATTCTGTCAAGTAGCAGCAACTGATTGGATTGTGGAATGCAGTGCATGAATATCAAGCCAAAAACGTGGAAGAACAAAAGGAGCATGATCAATCATTATCAGCTTTTAATCAGACATATACATGTAGCAGGGCTTCATGAGGAAACATCAAATGTCAGAAGCACAAAAACCAGAGTAAAACACCATCAGCAGTTTGCTTCAAGGACTTGTGCCTTTACATTTCCTCAGAAAATTTCTTAAATCTGCTTTTGGTCAGTGAGACAAATACCAGAATTGTTCGGAAAATGTCCGATGACTGAGCATAGCTTCACACTCTTCAGTGACACAGAATAAGCCAAAGCCACAATTGAATTATTTTAAGTGTTCCAGTTTATTTTCATTTTTTTTGAGTTTGTTTTTAATTTTGGATGTTGCTTTAGTGTTTTAGTGTAATCTGATGAGATGTGCTTAGAAACATTTTAAAATTGTCCAGATTAAGACTACAATCTTCTAACAGTTTTTCATCCCTCCAAAAATACTGCATTTCCTTAAATGTACATGTACAAATATGTACATGTACGCTGCTCAATTTTTCCAAGGTTTCAAACAAGTCTTTTTGTCATAAAGGAGTATGTAATGGTAATGTTGAGTTCTTACATGTGTTTTTTGTGTTGAGAGTTGTGTCTTTGTTGCTAACTTTGATATGTGCTTTCTGCCTTATTTATGAAAGACATAAATTGAATCAGAGTCATTGCATTATGAAATGCATATGGATATACCAGTACATGTACACGCATTAGACTTCTACAAAAAAGACAGGTTTGAAAGTTAACTCAAATACAAGAAGGCAAACTTGCAGACGTAGTATGTTGTCCAACGCTGCATTTGCCATGGATCAAGCTTTTCATCAAACTGGAATGTCATAACAGCTTGGCTTTCTTCACTCATTGACTGGAAGCAGATGCAGGGTGGGAATGTGCAAGTTTTGTCTTATTTTTTTTTACTTAATATTTCAATATTCTCTTTCATGGTATATGAGAAAATTTGTTCCAGTCACTGTGGTGTTTTTGTAGAATTCTTAGCCATGTCAGCAGCTCAAGGATTTTCTTGCGCAACTTGGGGAAGTCAGGTTGAGCTCAGTAGGTACATGTACACCGTAGCTAGGTGCAGATTATGTTGTCCCTTGTGGTGACTGGGCACATGTGTTTATACGGGAAGCAAAACCCGTAACAACCTTACGGAAGCCAACATAAATCCAATAGTTTTCCACTCAAACATCCAAGATGTAAGAGCTGTGAAAATGGCAGGATAGTTTTTCTCAGGAATCGCGGGTGAAATTGAGCAATAGACAGAGGTCCATGAAACATCTACATGTACATGTAGAAGCTTGATTGTAACAATGACTAAAAACCACCATTTAGAGGTTTAAATTGTGAACAGTGTAGCTATAAGTTTGTAAACCTTGCACTTGAAATTTTGTACAAGGTATATTGAAGCAGCAAAATCTGAATAAAGTAAATCATCAAAAATCCTGAATTACGAGGTTAAAAAAAATTCATGAAATGCAGAAAAAAAAAAAAAAAAAAAAACACTCGCTTTTCATGTACATGAACTGGTGTTTGCAGTTAAGGTCATTCCAAAATAACCAGGTTAGAAGGACAGTGATGGTGAATATAAAACGAGAAAAAAACCCATTAACTATGTCATTTTGTGCAATAAAAGCACCATAAAATTGTGATTGACTGGACTTAAATGTAATTTCAAGGAGGTCTTACATGTATCTGGACATAGAAAAAAGAGTGACTCCATTCAGCATCTGCTTTTTGTCATAGAAAATTTATTATCTCTTTTTAAATATACTGTGAATTAAAAACAGATGATATAAATAATTCAATTTGTCTTAAAAGTGAAGAAATTCAGAGCAAACTTTCCACTTTGTACACTGCACAGTTTTTTTCTCGAGCAACATTATTTTTATCACTCATTAACCGATGTACATGTACCCCAAACTCAAACGCTTTGAAGATGCACACTACAAGTGCCGCATGCCAGATATAACATCAGTTGATATTATGTGATATTGTCCTGTTCCATTGTTGAAATGAGTTTGTGCAAACCTGTACATCCCACACATCTCATATAGTTGGCTATAAGAATTTTAACAGTTGAAGAGACAAACTCAGTTTTTGGTCCACAATAACTGGCCTTTAATCTTGAAACAATCTGTTCTTGAGCATTTATTTCTGAGAAATCCAATCCTTGCCAGTTTAACATTGTTATTTTAGCATCCACTAGCGAAACTCTTCCAACGTGTTTATCCAATACAGTACCAAAAAGGTTAAAAGCCATTTCTGTCAATTTTACCACGGACATTAAGATGATAGACAAGCATTCAAATTTTCAGGATTCTTTTCATCCCGTTTGTTTAATCCTTGGCTTTGAAGTCTGCCCAGCTACAGATGACCTTTGTTCAAAAGTTTTTCAAGTTCAAATCTGCTTCTTTCCTCTCCTAAAATAATTTCTTATATCAGTTTCTTATGAAAAAAAAATTGGCGGCCCTCGAACACCGAACCAACACAAGCATGACCTTTTCTGTTTATGTAGAGATGAGTTCAAAATTTGGGCAGCAGATTGAGGTCTTTAATTACAGATGATTAATCAAAACTGGCAATTATCTCAATGAAGATGCAAGAACTTAGCTTCTCCAGTTTCTTTTCTGAGACTGAATTCAAACCCAGACAGTGCATGCACATGTAGCCTCATCTCTCACGGGAAAAGGCCTTTGCAATGAGCAACAGCGAGTGTTTTATCACTGGAATTTTTCTTGGCCCATCATGCATCAGCAAGGAAATGTACAGCCAAAAAATGCAACATCTCATCTGATATATTTAAATCTCTTAATTCCACAATAAGTTGCCATGACGAAATTGGCGTGCCTTTGCCTCATGCGCACTACAGACCTTTCAGTACTCAAAAAATTGAATCTGATGTTCACAGCCACCAACTGAATCTCACACATACCCAAAAGAAATTTTACACAGTCAAACGTTTATGCCAAGCTCTTCCACCCGGGAAATTACATCTGCACCCTAGCAAAGAACTGCTCCGTTTTTACCTTTTAAACACTTCATTCTTTCCCTCATTTTTATCCTGCAGAAATTTCAACAGCATTTAGAACAAACCTTTCGATGCAAAATGCACATGTACACTGGTTACAGTCCGCTTATCTTCATTAAAACTGTACGTACATGAACATGTACAGTGTTATTCAAATGTTATTCATTTCAACAGCTTATGAGTTCATGCATAATTCTGCATTCATTTGTATGGAAATACATTTTCAAAAAGGAATTACGTGGGTGTGCGTGAACATTATTCTTGACATTTTCCCGTCTTAAATGGAAACAAAAATTGTTGTTTCTGAAACTGTACATTCTTGATACACAAAATACAATCCTATACATGTACCAGTACTTTCTTACCAAATATTTAGGTACAAATTACTGTTGTATCAAAATAAATCAAGTGTGATATCCATCTTCAGAGCTGGTGCACACGTATGTATCACAACCTCTGTCCTCTCTCCCTGTGAGTTAGTTTAAGTCACAGGGATGCACAGTTAGAAACCTTAATGGCTGGTTTATAGTTGGCCTGAAAGTAAACACAAATATCTGACATACATGTACTCACACTGTGAATTTGCAAATATTCGACACATTTTCAACTTGAGCCGACTTTCACTGCAAATCTTTTGTGATGTCAAATTCGCATTGCTTACGGGTTGTTGGATGAGGCTCTTCCGGACCAAATGATGTTGTGCACCAGTCTTTTGAATACGTCCTTTTCAGACCAAAAAGGGCTCATAAAACGCCATGTGATTCAAGTTATTACCAAGAACAGCCTGTATGCTTTTTGTATTGGACTTAGACCTCCCCCTGAATCCATCCACAATGGCATAGTATATCACGTGACCACAAAAATAATAATTTAAGAGTTTTGCAACAGCTGCAGCTCACACAACGAGGGAGAGACGGAAGCTTGCATCCTCACAAAAATCTGATTCAGTCAAGACTTGGTTGTACCAATAAGCACACGATGCAGAATGTGTTCTTTCACCATTGGCATTAATCCTATACTGTTGCTTTGAGGTGTTTAATAACCTTGCAACAGGCATTCAATGAAAGTGAAAATATCCATTATCATGGCCACAGTTCAAGTTCTCCTTCAAATAGTGTATTAACCTTGATACTTTAGGCACAGTTGTATGGGGTGGGGTTGGTAACATTTCACAAGCATTGAATCACACATAAGCCGAGAAATGTTGGGGGGGATGGACACAGTCCCACCCCATTTTGGTCACATCACCACCCTGTTTCCAAATTGATTGCATTATCAACCTATTAAACAGTACAATAACTTGCCTTGAATTATTTGTTCAAACTTTGAACTTTTTACAAGGTAACTACACTTATGGACCAAACAAATTTGAGAAATCACATTACGGACAAGATTTTTAACACAACTGCGTGCCTGGGATAACGAGAAATTACTTTGAGATATTAAAAATATATGCTAGAAATCAGTTATTTACATTTCTAAATCTCAGCTTGAATGGTTCTTCATACTCTCCGACTAAAACAGAAGTTGTAAATTTACTGGCCGCAAGGTTAAACATGCTCAGTTTATCAAGTCTGATGGAAATAGGGAAAAAAAACTGCCCAACAGAAGAGCAATAAAATGCTCCTGAATGGAAATCTATGGTAATGATCAAAATGCAACAAGTTGGCTTGAAATAATCCCCCCCCCCAAAAAAATTTAAACAAACAGAGTGAACACATGTATGAACTGGAGAAAAATATGTCAGGAGGTGTATTTTTATGTTACAAAGCTTCCCAGAACACGTTTTAGACTTGATGCACATTTACCAGAACATACTAGAGACAACAGAGATGGAGGGAGAAGTACTCACTACATTTAGAAAACATTGTTTGGGAACTCCCTCAACAATAAGGGATGTCATAAAATCTTGACATCTCTCACTTTGGATTCGTCTGGTTGCACCACTTTCGATACGGTGGCACTGTCTTCTGTAATCCGTGGCCCGAGCCAAACAAACTGTCATTACCTGGCAGCGCAAGTGCTGAAATTCTTCTTCTAGCAAACGTGTTCTCTCCGATTGTAGCGATCTCTACAAGACTGAAAACACCCAGACAGATTCCCAGCAGCACAATGCCAGTCTTGTAGAGTAGAACATTTTCATTCAATCAGATGGGCAATTCAAATGAGATAATAAAGAATACATAACATGTACATAAACAAATATGCTTATATGAGAAATGTACTGTATTTATACAGCCAAATTTGAAAAGTAGAAGAAATGCTTTCAATACAAATGTCAACTTTAAAATTCAAATTTCTAAAATTCAATCATTAGTTTTTCCATATAAATACACTATAAAAATGAATTCTCAGGTGTTATTTAGATAAATAAAAGATCAGCTGATTGCTACCTTCATGGTTGTCTGAACAGGTCACATGCAATACAATTGTGTAGTGTGACAATTAGTGGCCATGATGTTTCAACAATCAACTTCTCTCCCAAAACTCCTTGAAATTGCCAATCCCAGTTCAATCCCAATCCAATTTTTTTCTTGAATTACTGCAATCACTCTGGGTGTCCTCCAGTTACACACACCTAGGCTCTTTAACAAACAATCTGACCCTATCACTCCAAGATCCTTTGACATAGTCACACATGTAACAGATCAGCAGGTTGTGAAGTATTTTACATGATTGAAAAAGATGCATGAATATACATGCAGACCAGCCACTCTCATTTCACACTAGACTTTTAAAGACAATTCAAGTTCAAAGAATCAGTTCCTGCCCGGCAGCAGTAGATCTTGATGGATACAGGAAAGTCCTGAACAAAATTGCCTGAAGAAAACTTCAGAATTACCAATAGCTAGCAGTTACAACTGAAAGCTGTAATGACCAAAACAACTTGTCCCAGTTGGCGTCACACACATTGGGCAAAGAATGAAGCAAATGGTAATAGAACTTATTCCCAAGGATGCCATTTTCGATCATGTTCCCAGAATATGAATTACAAATTGGAAACTGTTGATATGGATGGTACCAGACTATTTATGATATGACGCGTGTTCCAAGCCTTCCTCTCAATATCTTTCTAAATCTGGCTTAACCACTTGCTGGATTTTTCTTGAGCAAGACAAGATGCCGGATCATTTTCAAGATTCTTCAAAGATTCATCATTTCATTTAATGGCCATTTATACCAAAATGAAGGACTCTTTGGGCACTACTCTAAGGCTGACAGGTAAAATTCATTGACTCCTGAATATTGAAGCCAGGCCTGCAGCCTTGAAAAAGAGCCCAGATTGTGCGCTGTTACATAAGATTCTTTTGTTCCCGAAACCTGCACAGTGCACTGCTGACCTCTTTTAAATAGGGGCCAGATTAGCGTGCAGCGGTGCTGTGTGGCTCATCACTACGGTGGTGGAGAGCTTTTGTCCCCGGTGGTAATCCGCTCGCTCTAAATGCCTCAAACCATGGTATACTGATACAAAACAAGGCTGGATTATCTCCACTACTGAGAGCGAAAAAAATGTTGGTAATGCCCAGCAGCTCAGTCTTTTGTGCCGAGCACGGTCTTTTGTTATAAGGCCCAACTCTTTTTTCCCAGTTCCGGGCTCCCCGGCTCTGCATATAAAGCCTATGTACCCGAAAACAGGTCGCCCGGCAGAAAGTGGTTAAAACATACAATGTGTTTAACCACAAATCTGAAACAATTATCAGATTACATGTAGACAGATGCTAATTTGTCATGAAATTTCACTCTACTGCTTTACTCTCAAGCTCCAAAAATGAAGTTAAGTTTGCTTTTCATTTTAATGTGGTTGACTTAAGAACGTCTATCACATGTACATGTACACTACATGTGTGTGTTTAAGGTAAAGAATGAATAAAAAGAAAAACAAAACAAAAAAACATTGTATGTGAATATGCACAAGTTCAAAGCACATTCATCCAACCACAAGAAAATGAATTTACAGACCAGTCTGACTTTTAATCCTTTTTTCAGGTTGTTTTGATCTCTACGGTATGTACAGGCTCCATAAAGATTCTGACGCAGAGATTCCATTGTACAATTATATTTTAATGAATTAGTTTTCATAAAAATATGCTCTCCAGTAATTACATCTGCTCAGAATCTCCTGTATAAAAATACTAATGTCTGATATGTGATATTAAGCAGCCTTATTTCAACAGCAGAGAAAGCAAACATATTATGCATCAAGAACTGAATGGTGTCCATGAAGAAAACATCTCCCATCATGGTAAGAGGTAAAGGGCATAAGTACCATTCAGAAACTTTCACAATCACAGACAATTCTGTTTATCCTGAATGTTTTAGAATCATCTACCGCTAGCCAGGATCTCAACCCCCTTTCAGAACAAGATGGCGATTCTCTGATGAGGTCACAGCTGAATGTAGCCTGGGGTGATTACCTACAAAGAATGCTGGAAGTGTGAAAAGGGGGATAGCTTATTAGAGCAAAAGTTAGTGCAGTTATATACATGTACAGGTTTATCAAATGTTTTTTCAACTAAGAAGGTTTGAGAGTTAAGGCCTAACTTTCAAATTTACTCATGATGGGTGGTGCCTCTTGCAAATTTCCAAAGAAGGTTGAGCTGTTCCACGAAGTAACAGGTACTAGGTCAAACCATGTTACTTGGTATCAGGGAGCACGGGTGCTATAGTAGTGGCCACATTGCCGGCTGGTCCTATAATAGCCTGCCACTGGCTTAGGTTCTCCTGTATTGTCGGCAAGTGGTGGAAACTGACCGTGGAGTACTGTGCTGGATGATGACCCTGTGTTGCCGGGTGTTGAGCCTGGGGGAGGTTGGAGTTGACCGTGGTGAAGGCCAACAGCTGTGGATGGGTCGGGTGGTGACTGGGAATGCTGGGGATGAAAAGGAGCGGATTGGCATCCAGGCTTGCATTGCTCTGCAGGTGCCGATGAACAGGATTGATCCCTTGAAGCGAGGCTGGTAGACAGTGTCCTTGAGAGTGCACTGTGGACGTGGCTGCCGAGCAAGTGGACGATGCGACTCCGTGGGATAGAGCAGGAACAATTTGATCCTGTTTAGAGTTCTTTGTGCTGGACGCTTCAGTGAAGTGCCTGTCAAAGGGGTCATCTCCAGAGCCTTCACCAGTATGCTGTTGCGCAGAGGGAACATCCGTCCTGACCAGGTATGGGTTGGCGTTCCTTGTGTTTGGGTTCGGGAAGTGGGTGGGCGAGGCACGCCCCCCTTGCGAGGAGCCCTGCGAGTGGGTGCTCTCGCTGGAGCTGCTGCGCGTCTCTGTGGAGGAGTCCTTCTTGAGCTTGCGGCGCTTGGCTAGTGGGGCATTGGAGACATCTAGCAACCGGAATCCCTCCCGCTGGGCCCGGTGGAAGGCAAACATGGTGGCCTTGACCTTGGTCTGGACGGCCGAGGTGCTCGCCGACAGAAGGATGTTGGGGGTCATGAGCGGAGTGGAGCTGGTGGCCTGCTGGCCCTGAATCCACTCATTGATGAGCAAGTCCTCAATGGTCAGACGCTGGCTGGGGTTTACAGTCAGAAGACCTGCCAAGACAAGAACAACACTGGCACTTTCAAGATCTTGCTGGAGAACAGTACATCTCAAGCATCAACTTCATCTCAGTTTCAAATTAACCCTGGCTAGTGCCCAAATGATAATTTAAAACTTTTTTGGCCTGTACTTTAGGGAATTATTTTTAAACAAACACATATCTGAAAAATATTACTTGTTATGCATTTTAATACTCTGGACCACATCCCTCACTTTTGTGATTTTCAAGAAGGGAGGGCGTAATCTAAGAAAGCCAAGCTGATAAAACCGAGCATGCACAATGTCAGGTATTCGTTAAAGGGCCCAGAGGAAAGTTTGACTTTCATCTACTCCACGGTGTAATCTGTGGCTTTCAGAGAGGCAAGCTAGCATTTTAACCCCAGTGCTTAATACTTGAACAAAGACGTCACCAAAACATAGCAGTCAGACAGTGTGATACTGGGGAACCCTTAAGTAGTGTCATCAAACCAATGCTTTGGGACCTAAATACTTGCCTTGGATAAGATCCTTTGCAGCCTCACTCACAGAGCTCCAGTGCTGTCCTGTGAAGGATACATTACCGTCTTTGATCCGGCGCATGATCTCCAGTGCACTGTTGTCACCGCTTCGACGAGATGCTTGGAAAGGCACGTGGCCAGACAGCATGGTGTACTAAAGAAAAAGAAATGAGCGAAGATCTGTTGGATCACTTTGCTTTTCTTTTCCCCAATTTTAGCCTTTAAAAAGAGCCGGGCTATTTGGCCCCTCTCACAGCTGGGAGGGGGCAATTTCCCCTCCCCTGAACTCGGCTGTGCTTCACTTGATTTTTTAAAACTTGGCAGGCATGTACAGTGTACAGACATTCGTTATCATTACAAAAGTGAAGTTTGAAGTCAATCACACAAATGCTTTTGTTGTTAAGGCCATTTGCAGTTCAAAGCTTAATGTGTGCCAGCCCTCATGCACTGAGCACCACAATGGAAAAAGTATTGGCTCCTACAGTTTTTAGTGACAGTGACCTGTCTTGGAAAAATTGGCACTTTGCTAGAATGGTAGGGTCAGTTTTCACAAAATTAGTGTAAAAATGACTTCAACGAGTTACTCTAAAACTGCTAAAGGCTCAGCTCCTGATAACAATGCATTGCATAGATATAGGCTCTTTTGGGCTCTTACAGGCTCTTTTAGAGTTATGGGGATCCCCGAAGAGGAAGGGGGTTGGTAAAAGCCAGTGTTGAAATCAAGGCCACAACCTCCGAGGCCAAGACCAAGGCCATAACCCCGAGGCCAAGGCCACAGCTACCGAGGCCGAGGCCAGCTGTTGGTATACATCCTAACAACAAATCAAATCGATCACTCAAAACGAGGTCAAGATTTTGTTAGATGTACATATATTACTTGTTTATTTTGAAGTCAACAGCTGAATGGCACGTTACTAATGAGAGACTTAAAGAAAATGCTTGTTACATCTTAAAAACATTAGGGTCTCCAACATCTCCTGGGAAAGCCAAAAGACTCATTCATGGCAAAGTGGCAGAGGGGGACCAGACTATGGTGTAGGTTTGACTGGTTCTCAAACAAGGTGCTGTATGTGCAGCGGTGGCTGTGTCTGTCGCGCGGAAGTCACGGAACGTGCACACATTACAGGATTTTGGTTCAATGAGAAAAAAAAAACACACATGGAACCTAAGAAAAGAATGTTGCAACTGGACGTGGATGACGCTGCTTTTGTGTTCATAAATCTTAACGACGGTCGGTAACTGTAAAATTGATAAGGAAACATCCCCACTTTTTGATTGAAAAACATGTTGAATTGTAGGGAACATTGGGCGGCCTCGTGCCGGCCTCAATTAATTCCTCAAGGCCGGAGATCTCCGAGGATGAGTCCAAGGTCGAGGCATCACCCTCTGAGGCCAAGGCTGAGGCCATAAAAATCGGCCTCGAGACCAAGACAGGCCTCGAGACCTCCAACACTGGTAAAAGCTCTTAGTTGTCACTTTGTTATTCTATGAATTGTCCAATTCATGGAACTGGAGCTCAATTAAAACCTAAGTACAGTATCAACCATTTGTTAGATGGAGAGTCAGGGTGGCATTCCAATCTTTCCTTCGCCTTTCACCTCTGTGGTCCAGGTTCAATTACCACCTTGGTGCACATGTGGATTGGGTTTTCAGTCCCTGCCAGTGTTGGAGGTCTCGAGACCGTCTCGAGACCTTTTTTTGAGGTCTCGGTCTTGGTCTCGGCCTACAAGAGTCTCGGTCTCGGGAGGGTTGGTCTCGGTCTCGGGAGGGCTGGTCTCGGTCTTGGTCTCGGATGCCGAGGTCTGGGGTCTCCCACCCGAGACCTGCCGAGACCATGACAGAAATGCAGAAAACGTGGGTCAACAATTCACGCTCGGCCGCGGCAAAATCACGTACCCGGATCGTACGGTACATACAGCACACATATGTATATAGCAGTGCTGCTTGCAGCGCAAGCGAATGAGTCTAGTTCCGAACTGCACGCAATTCTGCATGTATGCTTGGAACATGTACGACATGGTATTCACGATAAAGAATGAAATCAAAGCTGGAATGGAGACTAATGCATACATGTGTGTATGTATACACTGTACATGTACATGTACTTTTAATAGGGAACTGCCCACGATGTTGTGTGACCCCTCTAACCTGTCCATTTATCATTAGAGAGTATAACTCATAAATTGAACTCGTGCACACCTTTTGGCATAGTCCGAGCAACTCAGACCCCATGTTTTGCCTTGTTAAACATTTGGACATGGCCCGCCCACGTTAATTTTGCTGTATATATGGAACACAAAAACTCTGTACATGTACATGTTTAATGTACGATTATGCCGTATACTCTATACAAAATTCTATAGCATCGGCAGTCCATGCCTTCATGGTCAAAATAACTGAGTGCTGTTTTTTCCCAGAGTTCAAATAAAACTCTTTCATGGAATATTGAATATGTTGTGTGCTTTACATGTAAAATGTGCACTTAATTTTGCTGTTTAATGCCAATTGTCCACCACGTTTACCATCAATGAACTACATGTAGGCCTATATATTGTATATGTTGTGCAAGGTCTCCGTCTCGGTCATCTTGGTCTCGGTCTCGAACTGCAAAAGTCTCCGTCTCGAAGTTCTGGTCTCGGTCTTGAAAGAGCTGGTCTCGGTCTTGGTCTTGGTCTTGGATGCCTTGGTTTCGGTCTCAGTCTCGGACACAAAGGTCTCGACTACAACACTGGTCCCTGCCTGATTCTGTGGCTTCTACCTAGAAACCTCTCCTGGAGGATTTTCCCCACCTCAAAAACAGTAACTGCTTCTCATCGTATCTCTCTACAGATATCTTCAGGCTTACAAGCTACAGTGCCAGGGGTGCTATTGAAGAACTGAGGTTTTGTCACCAGATACATTTCATAATTCATAATAAATATTGTCACGTTCTCCAGTACTGTCTCCTTTGAATATTGCCCAGTGTCTTCTGGTTTCCGATGGTGCCGGTATCTATCCCCCACCCCTAGACACTCCTAACATTTTGTTGACTACAAAGAATTTACTCACAGAAATTGTACTTTCCAAGTTATCCCCCTTTAGTCAATTTCAAGCTGGCATCCCTTTTGTGTAAATCCGTGCATTTTTTCCACTAGAACCTACAATGGTCCCTCACCACAGATCTGTAGATTTACTGGGGTGCTTTAATCCATGTGCATGTCAGTGGAGAACAAAGAAAGATCCAATTCTGGACAATATACTCTACATGTATATGCAACATGCACACGCATCACAATACATGTACAAATGACATGTACTGGTAAGCACATTTTCTATCATAGGTATGATGGCAAATACACAGCAAAACTAAGGACAAAACACAATGCTCATTTTCTGATCGTGCATTTTACTTTTTTGGCATACTGGCTTCCAGAATGCAAATGGCAGTAGGAAATTATGAGTTTTCAATAGGCTTGTGCACAAACATGAAATGCCCAGTAACATTCACTTTAAACAGCGACGTTGGTGCTTTGGTAATTTAATTAAACCCTATGTCTCCCCCCACCCATTGACACTCACCAAAATGACTCCCAGGCTCCAGATGTCGCAAGATGCGTCGTAACCACCGTCTTTGTCGATCGTTTGCCCAAGGACCTCGGGAGCAGCAAAATGTAGAGTGAAACACGGTGTTTTGAGTGGCTGGTTGGCATTGGTGATGTGAGCAAAGCCAAAGTCAACGATCTTCAATTCTGCCTCATCAGTTTCATCTGTAAACAACAGATTCTGGACAGAAGAGAATAAAGTGGATTTGCAAGTGTTTTCAGATAAATTGTTTAAGCATATAATGCACAGTTAAGGTTACATTTTAATTCTAATGTTTTCAAAGATTAGTTTGGTCATTCCATGTTAATGAAGACTTGTTAATGTTTTGTCAAAACAGGTTCCATGTCAGACATAACACACTTGACCCTAATAAAACTGTTTCCAAGTCAAGAGTCACAAAAACTGTGTCAGTTTTGAGACTTTGAAAAATAATCTCAGTATTCCCCATACTTACTTATACTAAACACCTGCCTTTCGGGCATGCACTGTGTTTCACTCTGAAAATGGTCAATTGTTATTCAAGTGGTGCAAGTGTCACTATTGGATATTATGCAAATGGCTCCTCAGTCCCTACCCTCTGATAACTTTTCAAAGTCCATCAGGATGTTTTGGAAAATTTCAAGGTATTTTGGAAGGTACAGCCCCACCTCTCTTACAAGTACCTTGTGAGAAACTTTATGCCTGCTGCAACTGCAGAGCATGCCACTGGGTTTCCCACACGGGCAGATTTACCTGATTCCGCTACCCAAAATTGTTAAGAAATGGGGCTTTTACAGCAAAATGCCACTGTGTGATGTGTGCCAATAATACACCGTAATAGGTACCTGAATAACATAATAACTTCAGTATGCTGGGTCATGGGCACAAAAGAAGGAAAACAAGAGTCTGGTTGAGCTGACTTGTGTAGTGAAGTCATGAATATGGGAATGATTCTTTGGATATGTGTGGTTTGAATCCCAGAGGGTACCTTTTTCTCTTTGTGGGGGGCAGAGTTGGCTTGGGTAGTATTTCGGTATTACCGAATACAGCGGTTTTGATTTTAATACCAAACAATACCGACTAACAATCCATGAATACCGGAATACCGACTTATTCGGTATTGAATTTCAACACCGGGGTATTCTGGCTGATTTGTTCTGAATGTTCCCACAACCCTCATAAGATGAAAGCAGACAATTATATCCACAACAGTGACTGCATACTTTGTGGTTTCAGTCATCCAGCATCACGTTTGTATTGTGTCTTTTGGTGAAGAGATAAGACGTAGCGTGATACTTCAGCATGCAGCCATCAACCTGCCTGTCAAAAGGTTTTGTTTCCCTATCGCTACAGTGCTTCTTGTATTACTCGTTGGCACATGTATACACGTACGTGTATCACAGCTCTACAGGTTGGGAATTAAAAATTAGCTGGTCTTCCGTGTCCGCACTGGACTTTATTTTCCGAAGATTTTTATTGGCGGATCAGAAAATGCGAATGCTGCTTGTGCTAGCCTTGCGCTCTCTTCGGGTCTTTTTTTGTCCTTTGTATACAACATGTACAAGTTTGTGTGAAAATCTATCTAACCAAAGCCAGGAATGTGTGTTATAAACTATAAAATGATTCCATAAATTTGCATCTGTTCGACATCCACGGCAATCAACGATCTTTTTTTATTGTTCTCACATTCGTTCCAACCACACGAAAAGAGAAGCAAAAACCTGCTTCCTCACTTGTCACTGCTTGTATTTCAGTTTTTCCGGAATATAAAATTAGGACGTGGTTGATCAAAAAGATGTCTCGGTTATGATTAATCAAATACCTTGTGATGTGTTTAGAATAATAAACTTCACTGTCATAGGACAACATTTTTAATGTGCATGTGAAATTTAAAAAAGCAAATACATGTGAAAGCATCCATCCAGGGATTTTTAAAAGACTTTCAATCGCCATGACGACGAAACCAACAGTAACTAACCTGCATGCACAAGTAGGCCTGGATGTACCTGCAAGAATGTGAAGGCTCATCAACTAAAGCCCCCATCCATGTAAGTAGTCTTTCCAACACAAATTGTGTCACGGAGAGACTTTTTTGTTTAATTTTTCGCCTCTCTTTTGATTTTTGAAACAAGCTGCATGACAAGATTGATTAGTAGTCCGAGATCACTCGCCCACTGCGGCGCGGTCGCCCGCGCGCGAGATGGTAGCTGAAGAAGCGTAATGTCATGAACGAATGCTGCGATTGGATAGCTGTGTCTTGCCAAATGTAGGTCATTAAAGCGCACAGTCTCATTGGCGGGCACGCTAGATCTCTTTGCAGCAATATGAATAATTCAGTGTTGGGCGATTAGTTGGACTCTTGAGATACGAGAATAGTCATGCGAACTTATTTGGGGCGTATTTTATCGGAAATGGGATGGGAATTTTTGTTTTGCCGTTTGTGTAATGAATGTAAAATATCATGGATTTTTTAATCGTGCACTTATGTGTGTCATGACGACAGGAACCTGGCAACCGATGTCTGTATATCGCGTTGTAAGCGTGCGTGCGATAAGCCTTGTGTTGCACGACTGGAAATTTTGTGGAAGCACGCTCGCTTGAGTACAAGCAGCACAACTTCAAATTAAATTCATGAACACAGAAAACACAAACATAGACATGAGATCATTTTTTTGTGAATGAACCTGCAGAAAAATTTGTGACGGTAGTGTTTTTCGACTTGAAACTATAGAACTGCATTCGATGTAGTGGAACGACGACCCTTTTTTGGCTGAATCTGTACACTGACTGCTTGCCGCATTTCCATCATGCCTTCATTGGCAACGGTTCGGCCCGGCGGGAACCAGTGTGGTGCACCGCACACGTTTTCAACACCACGATTCACAAACACTTTATGAATGGATCGTCAAGAATGGTTTTCAGGCAACGGAGTCACGAAAACCTTTCGTTGTACAAGGAATTTTGTACAATGCTATTTCGCTGTAACATATTTTCTCCCCACAGAAATATGCACGTTTTCACCGGGACCACAGATTTGTGCTTGTTGTAATCGGAATTTTGTTACAACAAATTTCGTAATAAGAGTTGACTACCTCCAAGTTCTGAATACTGGAATTTGCTGTAAAAGCTTTGTTTACTGACAGCAGCTTGTCTGTCAAATCAGGTGGCAGATCCTGGAGAATTCAAAACAGTTTCTATCGACAGGGAGGAAAGTAGGCTACCTTTGGGTCTGACCTCATTCCAGGGTAGTGTGTCTTTCTTACGCTCACCTCTGGTTTTAGATCCCTGTGCACGATTCCACGGTTGTGTATGAAGTCCACGGCCGAGACCAGCTTCCTCATGATGGTGCTTGCCTCAGCTTCGTCGAAATGTTTTTTCTTGCGGATTCTGTTGAGCAGCTCTCCCCCTCGGCACAGCTCCATCACAATATACGTGTGTAGCTGCAATTCCAGACCCATCGTGAAGTTAAAATTCATCTCAACAGGGTAAGTGCATGTTTTCAAAAGATTATGGACTGTCCATGCAACTTAGACTGTGCCACTGAGCAAATCCCTAACACAACACCACGAACCATTCTGTACCACAGGACAGGGTAAATTCAATTTTAATTGCGGGTTTTGCCCTAGCATGGTTAACCAGCAACAATTTGCTGGGATAGTAACAAGAAGAACATCTAAACACCATCTGCCAATGTGCATTAAAAGTAGCGGTTGATATACACACCCTAATGCTTTAGGTTATTCCCTTTGGCTCAAGTCGAGGTTGAAACGTGGTTGCAACATTCTTCACCAAAAATGAAATTGTCCCATAATGCAATAATGGCCTGGGTACAAGTTCTGACAAGTCCGTGGGGGTTGACTATGTGTGGTACCCTGGCTCAGCTCTTGTACATGTACATGACAGGTTATTGAGGCAAAGCCTCATTTATCAAAAGATGAAGTTGTGGTGAGAAATACTGCTTAAAGGTTATGCAAATGATCAAGATCCTTTCACGTACATAATTTCATTTCAAAATTTGTAGGCTTTTTGAAAATCTGGTTTTGGCCAAAAATAATCTCCAGATCCTTTTGAAATAATCCTGACCCAAAGTGATGTAAGTAACCACATATTTCCCTAATCACACCAAATCAACCCGTCTGGATAGGGACTGTACAAGACAGAAAACCAAGGTACCAATTAGTATCAGCAATCTTACACATTTCTTGCACCAAGACCACAACCATACATAGCTTCCACAATGGTATTCTAATGTACAACATGTCACATTATTTAATCCTCCTACACTTTGGACAACATGTATGAAATGCCTTCACAACATCCATTCCCTCAAGCAGAATGCTTGGGGGGAGGGTTAATAATTTGACCAAAGAACATTTCGCAACTGATATCTGGTTATTTGGTATTTGGTAGAGGTCAAAGGTTACAGTTGACTGACCTCATCTTTAAACTCTCCATTGAGTTGCACAATGTTGGAATGTCCCTGGCACAGCTGTAGTGACTTGATTTCCTGACTGCAGTTCTTCCTTCTGCTGATAATCTTCACGGCGTAAGCCTGACCGGTTTTTCTGTGAGTACATTTTCTGGACGAAAATATGACAACAGGATCTTAGCAGACTAGAAATGGGGAAAGAAAAGCGCTGCACTGAATAAGAATCTTCAATTATGCAAAGTAAATGTTTCCTTCAATTTTTTTCAAAATGAAACCATGCATTATTCCTGGACATTCCTGACAGCACTTCCTGCCAATTTTTCTACTCTTCAGGACCTTAACAATGGCACACATCCTCTGTAGTTTATCCTTCATGAGAATCAAGCCCCCAGGTCAAGTGCTTGTGGCCAGGATCTACATTCCTCAATCCTGCAACATCTTCCACAATCTCTAGATGGATTTTGAAGGATTAGAGAAGGCTACAATGTACAGTGAATCTTTGAGGTTAACACATTCAGCCTCACGTTGTGAAATTTTGTTTCAAAATTAAAAGAAAACAAGATGACCAAGTGATAGACATTTTGAATTCTTTTGAATAATGGTTACTGCCTTTTACCTGCATACTGAGAAGCTGCCGTCTCCAAGAGGTTCAGACTTTAAATCAATCTCGTATGTTTTGTGAAATACGGATTCCTGTGATGAACAAAAAAATTTTTTTTAATTTTCTCTGATGTTGCTGCTGTGCTCTTCTCCACACTGATCCTTCAGGTGTTTTTCCAGTAATGTCTTGCAGTCATTTTGACATCTACAGTGTGAAAATTGGACACAAAGTCCACTTCTCACAAAATGACCATTATCAGAGACAGGTAAGCCCCAAAATGCATAATTTTCCCACTGACATGCTCAATGCGCACAGGCTACATGTACATGCGTCAAGCCATGAACTCAAAATGACCTGGACTGAATTCAAACTTCACAGATGTATTTATAATGAGTGTCTTTACATGCATGTGAAGTTTCAAACAGATCAGGCATGTGGCAGCTGCGTTCTTGGGAACCCTCCCTCCCGCCCCCACAGGGAGTTGGGCAGAAAAAGCCCATCTCTTTTAAGGCTGATTAAGTCTTGGCTTCTAGTTTCAACCTCTACCCAAGTAAAACAACAGTTGGCTGATACAAATCATCCGCTCAGGGGGTTTAGGGCCAACTTGTGAAGGAAGCATTTTCAGCAAAATGAAATCAGTTTTTGCAGGACTTTAATATACCCCGGAAAAAGAAACAAATGTCGTTTAAAGAAGGTTCAGAAATTTGGAACTTCGACCCTACTTGTGTAAAATGTCTGCAAAAATAGTCAAGTTACAATTTATTACAAATGTCTGGTTGACTCTGAGCTCGAGAGTAACTGCAAAAATCTTTCATACATGTATACTGTACGTGTACTTACTCCAAAATATCCTCAAGCCATCTGCCCCAAGTCATTGGTCAGTTATGGATGACCACCTCCCATCTGACAATTCTGAAGCTGTGCAGTAAACTAAGAACACTTTCTATGTGCTTAAATCCGGCACATCATGCATGCCATATCACAGTCTTACATGTAACTCCATCAATGCAAAATCCAGTGACTGGCCTTGGAATAATCTAGGATACGGTACTGGAGCACAGGCTACCTTGATTTTGGATGAGTTTGATATCTGCTCCGGGGAAGGCTTGTTCTTGTCTGGTTCTGGTCGTAGGAGGTCGGCTGTGACTGCGTTTTCACTGTAAAGTACTGATGGTGCTATGAAGGAGTAGCCCTGTCAGAAACATTATTTGGATGAATTCTGAACACGTGCCAGAACAAATCAAGAAATTCACGCATGACTTCAATTGAAATGAGGCCTTTTGCAAGACTCTCAGTTAATTGCACACAGCTCACTTTCCACATAGACCGCTTTTGATAAAGTAACAACATATTCAAGTGAGATTTCTCTGCCGAATATATTCTCTCTTGCTTGTGTACAGACCTTTCACCTGCTGATTAATCCTAATTCCCTAAGGTATTAGTAAAATCATATTTAAATGAGAGTATTTAGTTTTGTTAGGGTTAATACACGTGCTTTACTCAGTTTGTTTTTGGTTCATATATATACATGTATATGTCTTTTTTTTACCGGGACACTGGAAAGTTTAATTTAAGTGAAGTTCAAACTTCTTTGGTGGAAAAGGTGACTACTTCAACTTGCTTCATGGTGGTTTCAATCGTCTTAAGAATTTATGTGAGCATATAGTAGTGAACAATAATTGTGGAGCCAAGCATAAACAAAAATTGGAATAAACGCATCAAGTTAAAATACACTTTGTCCGGTGATTTTTTTTAATGCCCGAATCTGCATTTGGAGATGCCTTTTCCTGAAAATTAAAACTCAGACTTTCCAGGGAAATTCTGTGCTAGACAAATAAGGACAATCTTACTCGGAACACTCTGGCATCAGCGGTCTTAGGTACAGCAGCCGGCGACTCAGCAGGAGGCAGGTTAGTGAACTCGTCGGCAAAGTTACTGGTGTCCAGTTCTCCGCTGATGTGAGGCCTGAAGGGAGGGGGAACCTTCTTGGCTGCTAAGTCCTCCCAATTTAGATTCTAACGGCAAAAAATGATCAAAAAGGCATTAGTAAGTTAATGAAAGAATGAGTGAATGTGGCACGCAGGCCATATCTGGTATGACATTTATCATGATGCTGCCATCTTTGTTTTGTTCCCTGTAGACCCATTGACAATAGTAAGACAACTCTAGAAAATGTATACTGATAAAAAGGAACAGACCATTTTTTCCCTCTAGCCTCAGTTTGGTTACATTGCTTTGAATGGTATTAAGGTAATATGGCTGCCCCATGATAAGGGTCTACAGGACTTGGTGCAGCCCTACATGTACAGTGTATGCCAGTTAATATTGAACAAGTGATTATTTCAGCATATTTGCTGGGAACTTTCTGAAACAATCTATCAGCTGCACAGGAAGCTAATGGAGCACTCTCTATGGTTTGACTTTCAAGGGCCACCAGGGTATTAAGGTAATGTGCTTTCATTTCATCAATCTGGCATAATCCTCTAGAACCTCTTGGTAGATACTGAAAGATCTAGAATAGTTGGGATCCAGTCATAGACCTGCTTGTTGATAAACAAGTGTAGTGGATTGAAAGTCATGATCTAAGCCGTTGAGAAGGCTTAATTAGATTTTATAATTGTGAACAAGTTTATAATAGAATTTATAATTGTGAACAGGTTATGGGTGCATATGTAAAGGAATGTGTAAATGCACTTGGGAACTACATAAATAAGATGTCTCCTTCTTTGGGCGCATGCAGCTAAGCTACGCATGATGCGACTGTGCAAATTTAAGCACAATAGAAAATAATATTGATTGTGGGTTCTACAGAATAAACAAGTGGGGGAAATGTTATGAAAAAGGAATGTTTTTAGGGGAGTATGAGAATGGACGGGGAGGAGTAAGCATCGCAAGAAAAACGAGAGTATTTGCAAGGCACAGATGGAGAATTAAATGGGCTGATTGGGCCTTATCTCTAACCCAAGATGGTGTTGTTGAACTAGTCTTGCGTATTTAATCTCGTAGTACTGTCAGCCCATCTCACCTCTTCTCGGAGATCTTAAGTCGCTCTGTGACAAAATTGACAAGTTGTTGTATCCTTTGCACTACGGACTGACAGCACTTCACAAGGGTCAGGGTTACCACAAAAAGGCCAGTTTTGTCATACGGAAATGAAATTTGTGACCTAACAGCATGATCATTGAAACAAACACTTATTTATCAGAAGTACCAGAAATAATGTGGTTGCGTTTCAGAAGTCATGCATGACTGAAACTCATTTCAGTTGCCAAAGCTACTGGTATGACTGTCCAACAATGAGGTGCAATCTCCTGTACAGCCAATTTGAAGGGCTTAATATGTGGTATCTTTCCACATGTTACTCTTGCTTTGCACAGTTGGATAAGGAGAGCACATTTACATACATGTACCGGTAAATGAACAGTCTAAGGATGCAAAATACTGACAGCAACTAATGTATCATGTTTTAAAGTGCCAAACTAAAGCAATACGCTCTGTATCACTTGCCACTGTGTGCACCCTGTGTGAGCAAAGTTCTCTGACCTTGAAGAGGGGATGCTGTTTGATTTCCTGCACGCCGTTGGGTCCAGAGCCCAGCCTCTTCTTGGGGTTTTTGACCAAAAGCCGATTGATGAAATCCTTCATGGTGGGGGAGAAGCTGCTGGGCATGCCTGGGTAACTATTCAGGATACGCCTGATGAATAATACAGAGGGTCAAAAGCAGACAAAATGACAAATACTCCACAAATACTTGTTTCTTTTGATAAAGCAGCACTGACTTGCCATGAGAAAAAGCAAGTGTATATTATATTACTGGAAATATTGATATACATGTAATATATGTACATACATGTATATACAAAATACATGTACATACATGTATATACAAAATACATGTACATACATGTATATACAAAATACATGTACATACATGTATACATACATGTACATACATGTATATACAAAATACATGTACATACATGTACATGTATATACAAAATACATGTACGTACACATGTAACTCAATATTATGCCGACTCCATAAAGACTAATGAAAGCCATGTTTGATTCAATATTTCGTTCTTTATTCAGAACATCTTCAGGAATAAAGAACAAAATATTGAATCAAACATGGCTTTCATTAGTCTTTATGGAGTCTGCATAATATTGAGTTATCTGAATATTATCAGTGGATCACCTACTGGTACACATGTAACATGTGTAAATATTCCAAGTTGTAAAACATTAGTCGTATTTGGTGCAGTGTCATGGTAACTATGGTACAGAAAAATGAGCTCGAATTTTTAGCCCAATGGCAAGCACTTACATTCCTTTCAATCCTTTAGAACTGCTAATTCCTTTTTACACCTTTGACCTTTTCATCTGTAGATACACAGTGGAACGTCGCTATAACGAATGCCACTAAACCGAACATCCCCCTTGGCTTCCGAATTTTCTATGCTTTTTTACCAAACATATTTCAACTTTTGAAACATTTGGAATTGACAATAACAAAAATTCAACCAACAATGCATGAAAAACCTGCAAATTTGCATACTTACTTTGAGATTTCTGACTGGGTATTCTTCTCCCCTTCAACTGTAAATGGTGATGCCCCTGTTAGGAGTTCATAGGTCAGCACACCTAGCGACCACCAATCAACAGCCTTGTTGTGACCAGTTGTTCCACCTTGCACCACCTCAGGGGCCATGTATTCAATGGTCCCACAAAATGAATAGGCTCTGGAGTCCTGCGGCAAAACAAAATACACGCAGATTTAAAAATGAAATTCAGATCAACATGCATGGCAATGTCGAAGTGGTTAGAGTTTAGAATGGTATAAAGATAATCATATTCCATCCAATAGCCGTACGGTATATGTACTGTACATTCAGATGACATTTCTGCAATGCATGATGGGATAGGGGTCATCATTGTATATGTACATGTATGTACTGGATTGCACTGCTGTCATAAGCTTTTGTATAAAGTATGTTGCCATAAAGCATTTGTTTTTGTGACATAGTTGAAATATTCTACAATTGGAAAATGGTAAGACTGTGCCTTAAACTTTCTTGTGATAATCAAATGTAAGTCATACATGTCTGCCATTTCCCTTGCTCATGCATTGTACCATATGACAACCACACAGACTGGACATAATGACCCCTACTCTATCCCACTATGAACACGATGATATGTTACATGTGTGTGTACAATGTACCGTACCTTGAACGTCATCATTGACTTTTTTTTTCTTTATGAGTAAGTTCAACACGCTTAAAATGTATATTATAGTCACCACTCATAACAAGGCTGCAGAGACAGGCTAAATACTGGTACATGTACAGTACATGTGTACTGGCCAACAGTCGTTACCTTCTTATAAAAGGACTACAAAAACAAAGAAAAAACAAAAAAAGCTTCAGGAAATTCAGACTATCAGAATACACACGGAGTCTTCATTTATAACAGAAAGTTTCGGAACTGTGCTTTGGAAGAAAATGCCTTAAACCATGTAACCATTTGCATAACAAGTGTCCTCCTCCTAATGAAAAGTGGAAGCATGTTGGATCTTGGTGTATGGCACCTACATGTAAGTCCATGACAAGCCACTGAACATGAAATGTACATGTACATGTAAGCGGTCACGCCCAGGTGGTTTGTATAACACAAAACGCTGCATGTACACGTAATGAAACTAAATACATGCACATTTTACTACACAGGGAAATCCTGGAGTACAGTACATGTATGTACACGTATCCGTACAACGTGTACCGGGTACAGTGTATGTACATGTACATATTCACATGGGCATTAACATGCAACTAAGTGGTCAGAAACACTCAGGTCATGTAACTCCAAGATGCAAGACGCTATCTCCTTTAACTTCAGTTTCAATCATGCCGACAAAACTCGAGTAGAGGCAATGAGAAGAAATCAGCTGATCCAAGGTATACACTGTATATGGATAGCAATGACACGAGCATACCGTACCGTACATTGTGCGTTCCAGGGCATACAATGTACATGTACACTATGAGACAGCCTTCAATTTTCACTGATAAAAATGGAAATGTATTATATCACAGAAGAAGACAAACCTACGTGTACATGTATACATGTGTACATTGTACATGTACATATACCAGTAAAAATCACAAATAAGAAAACTTAAACATGCGTTTAAGACCAGATCAGGAGAAGGGATGCAACGTGAAGCCACAGCCAAAGGAATTATCAGTGTTCATTCTCCTGAGCCAGAGCCCTGGCTAAGCACATACATGTATTTATTCCCATTCATAAATTTCTTTTTCAGTCATGGTCAGAGAGTCAAAGAAGTCAATTTCCAATGATTTGGTTCTAGAATTTTACTTTCATTTTCCCAAACACCCCCGTTCATATTCCTTGTGCATGTTGTCCAATATTAGAATCTCCTTATATGGACTTGGCACGTGTGTGGCGAGCCACGTGCACACAGACTCTTAACCAATCAAAATCGATTAAACAGTCTCATATCCAGGTGCCAGCACATGATTTACGCAGAAGGCGTTATCACATCTCAGTGGGCGTTATTATACAGTATGTTAATACACGGTCAAGTTGCACGTTGTTGAATAGGGAGACTGTCTGAGGTACATTTTACAATATCAATCAATTCAGGGAATTGTGATTTATGACAGCTATCCTTTTATTACCTGTGTTGATGTTTTGAGTTCATTTCTCTACAAAATTCAAGAAAAATGCTGTTTGTTTTCAAGGTGCATTTCAGCTGATGGGACACCCCCCCAAGCACATGCAAACAACACACAAAATTAGTCTGCACACTACAGCCATGGCACAACAAAGATTGGCAGGCACCAGTTCAGGTACCTTTTCCCTCCTAAAGCAGGTTGTTTTGTCCAACCTGGCAACAGAAGTCGACAGTACTGTAACTCTACCTTGGACTTTCAGTTCTTTTCAAACGGTCAAACACTTGCATGTACTGCTATAGATTTGTCAAAAATACTTCATTGTGCAATACAGTTTGGGCACCATGCTCAGTCAGTCATGTACATGTGCCGTACTTTTACATACACACCAGAGAACATGTACGTGTTCTGCACACTCCTATCTTATTGTCCGCTGCGAATAGACTTTAACCAGCGCACTGCTTAAACAGTGCCCTGCACTTTGTTAAAATTGAGTAATTGACAACCATTATTCAGCAATGGTCTGCTGGCCATTAATGAAAAAGCCATCCAAAACTCATTTTCTTTCACAACTTGACTGATGCTTCCAGGTACAGTATATATACTGCATATATGTATTTCATAAGCAATTCTAAAGCAAGCTTGTGCATAAGCTGTACATAGTAAACCGTAGATTTACATATACGTGTACACATACCGTACAATGTACATGTACATGTATACAGTATAGTACATGTACATGTATTTAGTGTACAATGCCACAGGCTCTTAGACATGTTTAAAGCATACACTTATTGTACAGTACATGTACATGTACGTGTACCATCTCCAGTGATTTGAGCGAACTGCTAAAAAAGAATAGTCTGGCCTGAGGGTACAACAAATGGCATCAATAAGGACACACATACGTGTCTAACATGTACATGAACAGGTACAGTAGCTTCAAATCTTTGGCTGTGACATTAAAGGTTAATCTAGTCATAAGGACATCTTTGGAACAACATGTCATTCGGGACATCCTACACATATTTTGTTTGAGAAATCAGTACAAAACATAAACTTTCAGCAACTTGGACATCCTGTTTTTCAGTACAAGGCTGGTTTTGACATCCAGTTTTCAAATGTCAGCTAAAACCCTGCATTATACAGTAGTGTGCCATTAACAGGAGATACAGGTTTGCATATAGAGCAAGAAACACTATGGAACACTAAAGCCGATCTGCCTCGAGCACAAGGCGAATATGTGTAGACATTCTCATTTGCATCTCTGGCTTGGACATGTACCCAGGGGAGCTAAGCAGGATATTTATAGCTCAAGTACATGTACAAAACACCTTCAGCGATCATGAGGGACACACTGGAAAAGTGAGTGGTGACTGCAGGCCACAGTTGGACTGGGGACATAGCTTATTTATGGAAGAGAAAATAATGAGTACAAAATTACGCATAATGGAAGCAGTCAAACAGTAGGCCTCTTTTACTTAACAATGTACTAGTAAAGTCCATCAATATCAGATTTTTTAATAAATGATAGAAAGTCTAACAGTGAGTATATTTAATATATCAAATATTCCCCATGAGCTGTAAACTCTTGTCACTTCAAACCGGGTAGCTCAAAACTCTGTTTGACGGTTTCTCAAAGTCGCACTTCATTCCCTCCAAGAGAATACAATATTAGGAAAATGAATACCTCTGTAACTGGAATTGCCTGCATGGTAGGCCTCAAAGTTTTGTCCGTTACAAAACCCAAAAAATAGTACAAAACAAATGTTAAATGTCACAATACTTTTTCAGAAGCGAGTTTTACCCCTCATTGCATTCTTTCACTCTCGAATACATGTATGTTGTGCATACAGTACAGTAACCATCGTGATTGGACAAGTCACAATATCCAGCCTGTAACTGAAAGTTTGCCGGATTGCTACCACTCACACAATTGGTTACTGACAGTCCAATTCATCGCTCTTTGCATTAGCCATGTAACTGAACTGGACATCTGGATTTCAAATTAGCCCAATGGCCATCCCTTGCCCAAATGCAGTTCATAGGTCAAGCTCAACAAGACTGCGTGCTCAAGCGAGGGTGCAAAACCACAACAATAAAAATTTGCTGAGCATGGTTTGACTCATACCGACATTAATGAAGATGATACCCGTATTTGACTTAAAACTAGAACATAAAAAAAAACAAAAGGAAGAAAAATGTGTCCATTTCAACAGTCCAGCCGACACAGGAGGCCGTGTATTCCAGTGAACAGGGAGAACACAGTTCAGACATTGGTGCTCATGATTTTGCCCTGTTTTTGTTCCAGTAACAGGCATACTGCACTTAAATGTATAATTCAAAGCAACATAAATGTATAACAACCAAGCCAAATGAAACTGGAGATTCATTTTGTCAGTGATCTGACCTGATTCCGATATTATTCCCCAAATGGTGATTTATTTTATTTCAATACTTAAAAATTTGATACCTGTGAAATCGATTTTGAAATTGACATCGAATAAATGAGTACTATCAATACATCTTAGGGCATTAATGTGTACATTTCCATGTAAAAGTACATGTATGTGCAGGTAAAATTCATGCTGTGATGTCCCTTTGAATGGGTATGGGTCAACTACACACAATGTACATGTACATTTGGAAATTACAGAAAGTACATGTACATGTAGTCAGCTGGAAATTGGACAGAGGGCCTCTGTTGTGATAAACTGCAGGATTTATTGAGAGCAGGGACAGAGCCCCGTCAGGTGTGAAACTATTTTTCACCCTTCAAGGGATAGTAAATTTAAGGGCTCTGTGGTAAAACAAAAGTGCAAAATGTGCAAAAGATACAATGCTACCAGTAGTGTGCCTGTGCATATTGTCCACTTCAGCAAAAAAGCTGACCAGGAACTGCAATATTTGTCTCCTCAATAGCCCCTGTATGATGATGACTGAAAAATCCCTTTACAAAAGCTATTCACTTGTGTAGGATGCTGAAGAGGGAGGGCTAATGGAGTGGAGCCTGAAACAAATTACTCTCTGCATTTTAAGTGTTGGTATCGACTTTGTGCAATCTGATCAACAACTTACATTTACTTAGCCTACCAAATTTATGCTTCACTAACGAAATCTAATCAGCTTGTGAGAAGACATTTTTTGTGATAGCCTGCTTGGGTAGGAGGTGAACCCAGAACCTCCCGACTACAAGCGAACATATCTCAATCATTAACTACATACATGTACATGTAGGTTGACAATGGTAAGTTGACTGGCTACACGTAAATGAACGAACATTTACTTGATCTCATTATCAGTTTCAATCTACACCGTACCAACATTTTGCTCCAAGTTAATTCTTACCGTATTTGGCAGGAATTCCTTACTGAGTCCAAAGTCGGTCAAGACTATGTGGCCATCCTGATCTAACAAGATGTTTTCAAGCTTGATGTCCCTGTAGATTATCCCCAACTGGTGCGAGCAAACCAGAAAGACAACACAAACAATGCATTTTAGTGAAAACAATGCAACACAGAATGACCGCTTCCAGTTTGAGAATTGAATATGAAAAGTGTGCAGTAGACCCTGTACATGTATACCGGTACTTGTACATTCACCGGTAACTACTTGAATGAGTTCTGTGAGTGAACATAGAAAGCAGCTAATCACTGTTACCAAGTAGCAATTTTTCCAATGGGCAATTCACCCTGCGTTTGTACACAAACTGATAGCACAAGGTTTGACGTATGTCTGATGAACAGTATTTAACCCCTTCGCGCCGAGAATTTCTTCCCGAAAGCCGACTCCAAGAATTCCAGCCTCACTTGGCCACGAAGGCTACCTGCCAAATCGCAAATTCTCGGTTTGTGGCCCTGCGTGCTCTGCACACTTTGAATTACACGGTGAAAAGGCTGATTCTTCGGTGGCATGCGGCTCTACTCACGCTTCCACATTCCCATTGCCTCTTTGCTGGTGATTATGATGCAAATTCGGTCTTTTCATTTCTGGGCTACACACAAAGGCCAATTACCATATACATGTGTACAAGAGCCAGGGTCTGCCTTCTTTCACCGTGTTCGCTCGAGTGTGGGCCCAGAATAATAGCTGAAAAGCGGGCGCGGAGTTTCTAGCCACGTCCCGGCGCGAAGGGGTTAAGGGGAGAATACAATGCCCGTTAGAGACAGACAGGTTGTTCAACTCAGCTGAAGACAGATTGAGTTACATGTACGGGTGTATGGCCGTCAAGAGCAGAAAACATCAATCCAAGTTTTTTAAAGAGGAGCGTGCTTAATAATGAAGAGTAGTTCATGATGGAAAGCTTCCTACCAGTGAGTGTTACTGGCGGAGAATGAACTCTCTGAACCAATGATGTCTGATAATACCCTGTAGAATTTTGCATACATAGCCTCCTGTTTTTAGGGAAATTTTAATGTGAACAGTGTGAGCCACTGAGAAGCTCTTGCCATCTTGGATTGTTGCTTATCAGAAAATATAACTATTTCAAGCTCGTGTACATGTATCCAAAAATAGCATAAATGTACATGTGAAATGCACAACCAGGGACCTAATGTAGTCATGAGCTACGGTGTACATGTTTCTTGTCATACCAAACAAAGCACAACAATACATGTACATGTGCATGTATATAAACAGAAAGCAATAAAACAAAATACCAGTAATGTCTAAATTCATCCTTGGGAACCTTTCAGATTTCTGAAAAAAATGGACATACATGTATATGTAGGACAAAATAAACCAACGACATGTACATGGCAGGGGAAATCAAGCATTATTAGTAATGTAATATTCACACCTGTACATAAATACAACAGAAATGTATCTTTGTGCAGTGTATTATAGTGTCTTCATATACATGTACCGTATGCACTGTACACTCTGAAAAACAGGTTGATTATGCACAATTTGTCAATTTTGCCATTTTTCACTCCTTTTTAAAATGCTTATTGGCAATACTGAATTTTTGAAACTGAAACGGGAGGTGTGACTCTTACCTGAGGACACTTCAATTTTTGTACAATGTCAGCTTAACATGTGTAAACATCACACATGTTGAAGACTTGTATAAACATGTACCAGTGTGTACATGTGGCACAGGTACATGTACTGAAGACTTGTATGTACATGTACATGTGGTAAATGTACTGTACCTGTTGAACTGTCATGTCAGCGGTGATTCCAAGAATCTCTGCTTGTACGTGTACATATTCATGTATATACATGTACATGTACATGAACCGGCCTGTAATCACATAAAGCATGTTTCCAATAGCCAAATTGGTGCATGGACAATGAATTTATACATGTATTGTACATGTAAAAAGTACCATAGATGAAAGGGCAAAGTCCAGGAAATTGAAAGAATTAGATGTAACTTCCTTTGACCTGATAAGAAGTGTCTCACATACAATGTACACGACAGATACTGTGTATCAAAGTGAAGGACAGCAAACTGTTCCCTCTTAGTGTAACTGATCAGTTTACTAGAGTGAAGAAAAAATTAGAAAAATAAGCCAGTATTTGATATACTGTAAATGATAAGCCAAGGGCTCGTACATGTACATGTACAGTAACTCATAATTTGCAAATACCAGTATCATTTCAATGAAAAGTATTTCTGGAAGGGTATCAAATGAGATTTGGGGGATTTGCTAAGGCATACATGTACATATCATAGATCTAAAATGGGAAGAATCCAGCTTTGGGAAAAAAGCAGCATTGAGACCGACACTGCATTTCTTGTCGCTAAAAACTACAGTAAATGTATCATTATCAGTCTCCACAACTCATCAAGAAAACTCAGACACACGAGCAAAAAATTCATGTTCCACAGAACCCTCATTTTTTGTTTGTTTTTTCTTTCTCAGATAAAAATCTCAAGAGGCACTACCTTATGTAGATGCTCAAGGGCCAGTACAATCTCTCCTATGTAGATGCGCACCTCAGATTCCAAGAATCTCTCCCGCTGGTACAGGTGAGTGAACAGCTCCCCACCGCTCACATAATCTGCAACGAGGAGGGCATTCCCAGGAGAATGCAAACAAGAGTGAGGTACATGTATGCAATTGTAGTAATTTACATGTCCCTAAGTGAATCCAGTGTGATAACCCATTTACTGAACAGAAAAAAATACTTGTATGTTTGTCATCAATGCTCTATTGGAGAGGAATTGGGCCATGTTGGGCCCACTGGTGATTTCCAAACTCTACATACCGGTACATTGTACAATATACAAGAGTACAATATTCCAGAGTTCAGACAGCCATTTTTGTCTGTTGGAGTACTACAGTGTGAACAAGTGCCATGACCTACACGGGTGCATTGTGAAACAGGTTATTTACCCTACTCTATGTTTTCCCCAGCTGCCATTCACATGGGGATTCCCCCATTCATTTTCTCAACACACATTTCTCACTGGGTGGGATTTCCGGCAGAACTCAAGTGCTCTCTTCAACAAAACCTTGTAATGCTTTTTTCTGAGAAATGAATGACACTACATGTACATCCCCCTTATCATGAACAACTGATGCTGCTCACAACATTGAAATATCTTTCACATGAATGTGTATTAAATGTCTATATACATATACAGTACATGCTGCTTACTGTGAGGTGGGACGTGTATTGTGAGAATTTACAACAACATGCCCAACATGTACATGTACATGTTAAGTGTTGGATTCTTTCCAATACTTGCCTCCGATTTTGTAACCAACACTAGAAATGGAACATCCATACATACACTGTACATACATGTACATGTATATGTAAGGTCCACAGAGAAGTTGACAAGTTTAGGGGAATGAATGCAAAAATGGTTTGAACTTCCTTAGTATACTATGCCACAGTCAGAGCAGTGGGTATAATGCACTGTACATGTAGTGATCCTTGAGGTCAACAGTAGTGCATATGGAACATGTACATGTAGATTGAGCCTGAGGTGTGCACTATTAAAGGGTAGATGCAACCAATTTGTTCTAATAATACAGACCTTAAAAATAAACCTTTGTGTCTCAGTTATCCTTATTTTTAACTTTTGGTTCGCTACTTCAAAGGGTATTTTTACTGCCTCTGGTTTTTATGCTGAGTACATTCATGAGCAAAACTGTGATATTATCCCAAGAAGAAAGTCTCAATGTCTCATTGGTTTGTACATAAAACTCCTGCACTGTAGATTTTGCTGAACAAAATTTTCTGTTAATTGCTTATTTATTGTTGTTTATATGCACGGCAATAAGAAAGCACCAATATCATTCTCTAAATTTTGGGTTAACAAGCAGAAAATCTGTGGCTGAACTGTCTTTCCTAGATGACATCAAAGTAACAGTGCCCTCAGTTGTCCAGGAAGTCATTGAAAATTGTTGAAAAATTTTTAAAAGTGCACTTTTCAATGCATGCAACCAAACAGAGGAGACGATGAAGAGAAACAGAAGTCAACCAATTTCCGACAGACGACCACAATTTCAAGGGTACCTCATATGTGTTTTTTTCCCCAAATAATGCAACAATATCACTGATGACTGAATCTTCATACCTAGGATGAGATGAAGCTTGGAGTCTGTCTGGAAAGCATAGTGCAAAGTGACTAGGAAGGGGCATCGGCGTACGGCTTCAAGGACCTGTCGCTCTGTCATGGTGTGTTCTGCCGTCTTGGCCTTCTGGACAATGGTGGCCTTCTTGAGGACCTTCATGGCAAACAGTCTGCCCGCATCATTTCCGCTGTGCTTACGGACAAGGAACACCTTGCCATAAGCTGAAATAATACAACGTACAGGTACATGTACAAGTATACACACACATCATGTACACACAGCATGTTAAGTCACAAATGGAGATTAAGACTTGGTACGTGTATATATACATGTACATGTGTGTAGTCTGTTGGTCAGTTTGACCTCGAGCTGGACCAAGAGATGCTCCTTTCGTCAGAACTGAACTTCGCTGGTGCACGAACGACCAAGTAATGCACGCGTCACGGTCACATCGGTCACATCGCTACCAACAAAACTCTCCCAACCAACACAGCTCTTTTCAACTGACAAGGGGGTGCTTCTGCTCAGGCATATTGGGAAATCCCTGTGATTTTATTTTTCTTTCAATAAAGGGCCATTCATAATCAAATTAGCCCCTCTTGAGTAATTTCAGATCTAATTTCAAAATCCTGCTGGACATCTTTAATAGATTTAGCCAATTTTTATGGTAAACTTGACTTGGCCAGTTTAAGTGACCGTGGCGACCAACTCTCTATTGTAGGCCAGTCGGTTTGGAGCCAGGTCCATCAAGTGGTACAGTGGTAGGACCTGGTTGACCTGCCGCACCCAGGGTGGTAAAGATGAAGGGTACTGGTACTGCATACGCAGAGACATGTACATGTCAGGTTGGTGAATGGATGCTTTGGGACATACATGTACATGTATGTCATAAAATCAAAGCAGTTTTGGACTGACATCATACATGTACATGTACATACACACATATGGTACGTACAAATGTACAGTTGTATCTTGTGTGTAAGCTACATGTACATGTATGCACGTACTGTATGGTGCATGTACTGTAGTTGTCACTGGAATAGTTATTACCTAGGTTCTGACTGGATGCCAATGCCATACTTTTCATTCTGGTGCCAAATGATATTGATGAGCTCTTTGCTTTGATTTTAAGAAATTTCTACACTCACAGTTTATAAAACATACCGGTACATGTACAGGTACTTACCCCCAGTGCCCAAGACCTTGAGCAGTTCAAAGCTTTTCCGTCCAACTTTTTCAGCATGATTTGTCAAATTTGCTGAATATTAGAAGAAACAAACAGTATTGATAACTGAACAAAATTATCCACACTTTTTTTTTCAAAATGAAAACACCATTACAGGTTTTCAGAAAGCAGAAAAAGTCCTGTACACACGAGGCAAAAATGTTCAAGCTTATTGGCTTTGCACTTCCCAGCAAAACAGCAGAAGAATGGCCTTTTTAAAAAAAAAACAATCAGAGCGACTTATCTTCCACCTCTGGCAGGTGCCTAAAAAAAAGTTGTTATCTCACAATCTACATGTATTTTAAGAAATAATTAGATAGATGATCAAATTATTATCACTACACATACTGTAACAGGGGTTGACAAATATACATGTACTGTCATATAATGGCTGAGACAACAAAAATCAGGCATCATCAGCCTACTGCTTTCTGTTAACGGTCAAGTCTGACAGGCTACCAATCTTTCAAAACTCGGCCACAATCTCACTTTTGTGACACGAACAGATCATTCACTTGTTGCTAATTATTTTGTTGTCACTTCAAAAATAAGAGCTCAGATGACCTCTGCCCTTTTTCAAAATGTGTGGTATGCAAAACCTTCCTTTTCATGGTCACGTTTGAAAACAAAGCCAGTTTCCTCATCAAGGAGGAGCATCCTGAATGCTGGATCAAAAAACAATATCATCACAAAGTGAGACAACATGCATGTACATGTAAATTTGCTTTGGTATCAGTGTTTATTTATGCACATTTAGTGCTGGCCAGTTTGGTAGCAGTCACAGTCTGTGGAAGTTGAGGAAAGAAGAGCAGGATGCATAAGACTGCATGTTTACAGCATGTACTAGTAGTAAACCGGTACAAGTCCAGTCCTGGGCAACTATGGTATGGGCATGACACACACACGCATGTACTGGTACAGTACGGTACCTTCTTGGCCAAATTTTCCATTCTCAGCCTAAAGGTGCCCTGATAAATGAATTTTATGGACAGACAGTACAGATGGGTCAAGGGTATTTATAACTATGACAAAGGGGTGAACAATAAGTTGGGCAGATAAGAGATACAAATAAAAACAATGCTTTATCACTGCATTATACATGTATTCTCTATTCTCTCATTACGATGAGAAAGAGGGAAGCTTTTAAGATTTTCAAGGCTTTTGAGTAGAGGCACAAGATGCACGGTGCCCGCTATCAAGCACCATCGTCTTGAAACCAAGACTACCATTGACCCTTGATTGGCAAGCATTGTCAATGTCCACCCCAATGTGCCTGTGCTGTATGCAAATGATCTCCCCTTTCACTTCGCTGACAGCATGCCACTGCTAATCCCATCATCTAAAAAGCCTAAGCTTGTCACCATAGACCTGGAGGAGAAACTCTCCAGATCTATGCTACATGTATCACAGTGCCTGAGTATACGTGGCGCTTTGCCATTACAAGAACATACATGTACATGTACATGTAATTATACGACAACCCCATACATGCACATTCATTTTAACCCTGATATTTTTAAAGAGGAGGTTATGTTCATGGGATGATTCTGGAGCAACATCCAGCGATTATTGAAACTGAAAGACAAACACTTTGATGTACATGTAACAAATATAGAATGTACATGTAGGGCCTACAAATTAGGGCCCCGCTCTTCATACATGTACATGTAGGCCTGACTCCAATACAAGTATCGGCCAGGCCATCATTTTACTTGCACCCCATGAAAATAAAAGTAATGAATATTATAACACCAAGACGAGTAACTCCAAGGTGAGCATCCAAAGTAAATTATTTAATACAGGTATACATGGTCACTGTTTGAAATTATTATTAGCAGAAATGGTGAAATTGAAAAGCAATAAGAATGTTATTCCCCAAAAGCAATGAACGGGATTAAATAAGAAACACCCTTTCAACACATCCCTGAATAGAAGAAATACACATACATTGTACATTTGCACTTTACCTCCATGGTACCAGTATCACATGCGCCATTACACCAAGCCATTTAGGGGAGAGTGGCTTCAGCACTTGAACATGACTTATTCTTCAGTGAAGTACTTCTTTTGCTATCGGCCATGATGAATAGTTTCTGATCGGTTGCAACATCTCTCTAAAGGCCTTTTCAATCTATCTGCCTGTCTTTATAAACTCACACATCTTCCAGACAAAAACATCATACATGTAACTTGATTTGCTGTCTCAGATTTCTATGACAATCTGTTTTCAAGTGCATGGTTCCATTGAGTTTAGAGTTCACATGACACCTCTGCTCCGATATCAGACACGGTTGTTCACTGTAACAGTTTTACTACTAAAACACCAATTGCAGCATATTTCCTTAATCAGATAAACCCTCTGTTATTTATTTGCTAAACAAAGCCACAATACTCACATCCGTACTGGTACATGTACCTGTAAAGATCTTCATAATTATCAAGATGTATTTTTAAGATCTTCATAACAAGTTATTTCATACTAAAAGTACATGTACATGTACGGTACCTTACCTCAACAAATCAATTTTAATTTAAAAAACACAAATGTCCACAGTGGTGACAAGGTAAATTTAAAAACGTCGACGTTGCCTCTTCTACAAAGTGTATTCCACTAATTCCTCACTTAAACACGGGCCGAGTTAGACATCGTCTGGAACCCGTCGACTTTTACATACCACACAACACTAATGTTGGTAAATGTTAGAAGCATTCAGAGACACATGTATGCCAGCTGCAGCTTAAAAAGATTGTTATGCACCGAAGCCCTCTGTATCGATCAGTTTTGGATATCAAGTGTATTTTCGTCTTTTAATTTGTGTATACATGTACATGTTCATGTCCCTGGTACACTTCTATTCTTAATTCTGCCAATAGAATAATTTCCATATTTTTATGGTGCAGACAATAAATTTGTAATCTTATCTAATTATGTCAGTCAAATTGCACTGGTGTGGACTTTTGTGCCAACGTCCCGCTTTCACCGTTGAAAAGGCAAACAAAAATATGTTACATGTACATGTATGTGCAACTGTTGCGTTCCATTTATATTAGCCTCAATACATCATTCCTATCCTTGGAACGCTGAGTAGAACGGCCAACCCAGCAGAATTTACTCCTATCAAACTCGACTTAGCCTGAAATAATCGAAATATCGCCCAAAGAAGCATGAGTTGGTGTCTGATTCTTATTTATTGAAGGCGCTTTTTACACCTCGCTGGGCCACTCCCCGCACGAAGTTGGTCTCTTTATTTGAGCATGCATCAGTCTGAAAATTGTCCAAATCCAGAGATTGTGGTGTAATCAGAAAAAAATATTACTTGTTTTATGAATGCAAACAAGTGTACCGTACCACCTACATGAACATGTAGTGTGCGTGAACAGTTTCAAAGAAATGAACAATGGCTATAGAAAATGTGAACCTGCGCACAGTTAGAACACAGCAGCTTCTAAGAATTCAATAATTGGACTATTGATTACTGCACAAAGTGAGACATGACACTTCCTAGATCCGTATTTGTTCCTTTTTTTAGAGGGGAGGAGAGGGTTGGGGAAGGGAAGGGGAGGGTTGGGAAGGGGGTACTGGTGTACATGTAAATGTATGCAAACTGCAGGCTACTCTGAGTAAAACATTTTCTTGGACACACAATGCAAGTCTGTTGAACATGTACATGTGCAGTGTAAGAGATAGTGTAAAAATCCTTTTAAATCCAATCTGTACAACAATAAATTTAAATTAGTTTTACAGCATCATTGACACTTAGTTCAAGATCGTTTCAATTTTTGTTCAAATACCCCCCCGATACTTGTGCCGGTAACTGATGAAGACAAAACAGAATACAAACAGTACAGGGAGGAGATGGGAAAAAAATTAAATATATCTCCATGAAATATTTGGCAGAGGATTTAAGAACCACACATCAGCGTAGAATCTACATGTATGGTTTACATTGTGTTTGCCTAAAAGTACCCTTTAAAAATAGTAATTTCTTGTGTTTTAAATTAACTCTATAAGTAAAGACACCTCTTTGGCTAACTTAGGATTTTCCAACTTTTGAAAGAGATTGCTTGAAAAATCCTGAAATTAGGAAAATCCAAATGAAAGATCCTGCAATCAGGAGAAATCCTGACAATCTTACACCTGAAACTTTCTGTTGAGCTCATACTTCATGTTGGCCTGCATGTACAAGTTTGATTAACTCCATCCAATTCCGGCAAAATCCTCCTTTACTTCAAGTGTACATGCCATGGTATGACATATTCTAGGATTTCCAAGAATAAAGACAGTGTGCATGGCAAATAGAAATAGCTCATTTTGAAGGGTGCATTATTGCAAGGTCTTTATAGCCTAGACCTTGTGCCATGCCTAGTCAGGCACTTGTCATTTGTGCATCATGTTCCTTTGAGGTACACGTACAAATTTTAAAGAACGGTGCCTACATGTATACATGTACATGTAAGTTGTAAGAACAAACCTGATTAAATTTTGGATCAGTGAATAACATGTATTCCAAGAAAAACAATACTATTACATGTATTCTAGGATTTTGATTTCAGATCATAAGTTGCTGAGTTGTTTTGAACTGTGCCTGAATTCAGCGTCTGGCACACATTCTCAGGTGCAGCTGAATGCTGAGCTCTACGCGATGTCTCACTCCAAACCAACAAATTCTATTAACCGCACTTGCAGGTGTTGTATCAGTGTTTGCGTGCACTTCTAATACAACTTTCAAAAATGCATCTTTAGACACATTGTTGGAAATGGTCTTATTTCACCGTTTTCTTCAAAATGACAGCTTGCGAGAAAAAAAATTTCACAAGGAATTTAGTTCCACAACCATAAACATGAAGTACTGGTATGTTTTTCAACAATAATTTTGTCAGTTACGTTTTCAATAACTGCAAATGATGTGAGGGACCAGACTACATGTAGGTGGAAAGCCATCATAGTAGGAGCCAAGGCCAACCCAGCGCAAACTGGATGATGGCCTCAAAATCGATGATGATGATGATGATGATGACAAAGATGATGGACCCTTTTAAGGTACAGTGCGTGGAAGTCCTGATAAAATCTATGCATGTACACCATACATTTTTATGTTCCTGCCTGAAATCATCTACAGGTACGGTATATCGTTCACACTGTCTCAACATATTCAAGGGACATGTACAATGTACATGTACAGTAACATGACAAGTGACCCAACGCAATGAAATGGTCAAAGGCCTCGACATGTAAATCAATCTCCTACATGTACATGCACATACTGGTAATGCATGAACCCTAAACAATTGTTCTCAGCCATGACTGATACACACTGTATCCAATTTCTTACTGGGTGGTACATCAATAGGAGGAGCTCAGGTTGCTCGAATGTAAACTAAAACAAAATTACTAAAACATGGCCTCAATGCTAGACT